GGCGGGCTCTCGTAGCTGTTGCCCGTCACCAGCTCGTTATTGTGCTCATATAAGGTGACTTGACCCCTAGGCGGCGGCGGAGGGAACAAGGCCAGGGAGCACATCTTGCAGATCCCAAGGACGTGTGGAGTCGGCAAGCCCCGGCCCTCTGACAACGCTGATCCAGTTCCTCCGACTCAGTTCCCGGGCTAGATTCGTATGCAGACGGGTAGCAGTATGGGACAAACGTCGACGCGAAATACAACGGAAGTGAAGGGAAGAGTAACTGGGAAGAAGGACGCGTGCGCGTCCCGGGAACAGACTTCCGGAACTTCCTCGCACACCCCCTGGTGGCCGGAGGGGAAGCTGCGTGATTTGTCCGTAGGCCAACCATTGAGGAAGGGCCCGCAGCGTTTTGGTTTGGGTTTTTGTTTTTGTTTTGGGACTGCTGTTTTGCCCAGCTCCGAATTCCCCAACACCGTCTCCCACTCATCCACTCAGCGATTGGAAAGCCCCAAATGGGCCACGTTCAAGGAAGTACCTAATTAAATCCTCCCAGGCTTGTGGGTCCCCCAGAAGCCTGTGTAACAGGCATCTGGGTGGAAAGCTTAAGAGACCGGGGGAGGAGGAACATGGGAAGGAAGATCTCAGGAGGGACAATGCAGCCGCTGGAACCCAGGGCCCACAGGGTTAGGGGTCCTGGAACAGGAACTGGGGACAGTTGGCTACAATAAGCCCTTATGTTTATTTACAACAACCTCATAGAGTGCATACTGTCACATCACCATGGCGACAGTGAGGCACAAAGAAATGGACTTTGATATACCCAAATCAGGTATTTTGACTTAAGAATAAAAATTATATTGATCTTCGGGCCATCCAATAGTTGGAGGTTGAAGGAGTTAGGTCCCACATGGTCTGTGTAGTTGACTCCTAAACCTGATTGCTTGAAAAACATACCATAGTGTGGGCCCCAAGTCCCAAGAGAATAAAGGAGAAGGGATTGTAGCCTGGCCATCCCCCTGAGATGTGATTTCTCACTGTTTCTCTCTCTCTCTCCAGCACATATGCCCTATGGTATACACCTAAATATATATATATATATATATATAGAGAGCCCAGACCTGGTGGCTTGCTTTCTCACTTTCTCTCTGGCCAAAATTTAAATAAATTAAAAAAAAAAGAGCAATTAACCCCCTGAGGATCTTATTAAACTATAGATTCTGGGGCAGAGCTCAGAGGCTGTGTTTCCAAAGAACCCCAAGATGATACTGCACAGAGCACATTATGAGTAATAATCACATTAGCCCAGCATACTCTGCTAAATTAGTTCACTATCGCCTGGGAATACACCAAAAGCTTAAAGAGCATAGGAGTACAGGTCCTGCCCTGTGATTAAAAGAGCTGGATCTTACATGGAAACCACAGTTCTAATCCCAGCCTGGCAGCTTGAAAAGCACACAGGTGCAAGCTTGTCCAAAATCCCCACAGGAAGGAGAAATGGAGGCCATACCCCGTGAGGGGGGTGCTTTGTCCCTGTCCATATCTGGCAAGCCCATATGCCCTCCAGCAATTAAAAAATGAGAGGAAAAGAGCATAATAGTGTAAACTGGGTAATCTGGCTACAAAAGTGCTCCCTGAGAAAATGAAGCCATCACTGGCAGGTTTGGGGAAGACAGGAGTTAGTGACAGATTAGTGGGCAATACTGAGGAAGCACCGAGGGAGTTTTTTGGTTTTCTTTTTTTAAATCATTTTTTATTTTATTTGTTCATTTACTTATTTTATTTGACCAGAGAAACAGGAAGAGAGAGAGAGAGAGTGAGAAAACAAGTCACCAGGTCCAGGACTATGAACCATGGTTGGCCCTATGGGAATGTCCAGTGCCTTAACCACCACACCACCTGCTGGTTCCACCAAGGGAGTTTGTATTTGTACCTGAATCCAACCCCCACCTAACCCCAGGAAATCATTCCCACCTGCAATTTCCACTATCCTTCAATGGAGCCATGATTTTCTTACAGCTTGTATTATTGTTTATTGGTTAGGTAACTGCCTTTTACCCTGCAACGTGAACTGGAGAGAAGGAGCAGTGCTATTCGGCCCCTGCGCCGCCGCGGCCTGGCACGGTACTCACACACACACACACACACACACACACACACACACACACGCATGCACGAACGCTGCTTATTTAACATTGTTGAATCATTTTCAGGATTCACGTTCTAGGGAGGCCAAAAGCCAGGCCTAGCGCGCTCCCCCACTAACTTCGCCAGGGGGCGCGGTGGCCCCGGCGACACAGCGACTGTGACCCATTACCCCGGGGACTCTAAGCGGGCGGTCTCCACAGGGCCCCTCCCTGTGACCCGGGCGGGAAACGGAGGCAGCTTGCAGGTCGCTGCTGGAGGCTTCTAAAAAGGGCTCCAGGAGGTAGGGCCGGAGCGTGGGTGCCTGGGGCTCCGGACCGCCGCCCTTTCCCGGGCCCACCGAAGCGCGGCGCCCCAGCCCCGGGCCGGTAACCAGGCGCACATGGCCCTCCCGGCCCTGTTTGTCCTGGCAGCGTGCCGCCGCTATTTGAAGCGGTTTTTATCTCCCAGAAACCAGCAAAACCCCAAGCGGAGTCTAGGGAAGATGAAAGGGGCCGAGGGGCCGGGGAAGGGAGGACCGCTAGGCTGCGGCGGGAGGGAGCTGGCACCGGACAGGCGGGGACCCGGAGGGCCAGACCCTGGGGGGTCCCGAGGAGCCCGCCTGGAGGGGTGGCGGAGGAGCCGGGCGTCCACTCTGGACCTCCGCCAGCCCAGCTCCTGGGCGCCCCCCGCGCTCCTCTGCCCCAGCCCCCGGCCCACTACCAAAGTCCTCGGAACTCCGACTTCTTCAAAGCGCCTTTGAAGCAGCGCGCGCCTCAGGGCGGGGACTTCGCACCTGGGC